CCCCAAAACCCCAAAACCCCAAAACCCCTATAAGCAAATAATATAAATAAAAATGTTCAAGGATATGTACAAAAGCAGGCAGTCCCAGCAGGTGGAGAAGAAACCCTTCAAGGTTGGCTATAAGTCCTCCTCAAAAGTAAGCTCTAACTTATTCAGCTAGAGACTCGAGGGTTTCAGCATGAATTATCTGTCAAGCGAGCTTGAGAGAGGCTTGGCTTATTAGTTTACTGATTAATAATCTGGTCCGAGAATCGGTACTCCATACTGTTTTTAAGTATTTTGGTGTAATCGGTACCGAAATAGAGTTGAGTGTTAGTCATTTTAAGTAGATGATCGCTCTAGTTAGCCTATATAGTTTTTACAATAGGGATTTAGTAATATTCTGGCAGCGTTTACATACTGGTAATTACATTGATTAGTTGTAACTGTGAGATAACTCATCACCCCCAAAAGATGCATCTGGAATAGATTATAACATTTACCATTTAATTTAATTTTTTCCGAAAAATTCTGATTTTTGAATAAAAATAAACTCAAACCCAAATAAAAATTTACTAATTATTTTTAGAAAGCTTCTGGTTCTTGATCTTCCTCTGGAAGAGTAGGATGTGAGAGCACGCCTCATGATTTCTTCAAGTTTGTACAGAAAAGGGTCTTCGTCCACGGTAGAACCCAATGGGACTTGGGTAACTACAAGCCTGGCTTCTTCAAAGATCGCTATTCGCCTATCACAACAGACTTTATCAAATTGCTACAAAATTTAATAAACGAAAAACTTGTAATATCAAGGCAGGAATTTATGAATTATTCAATGCTACTTTACACTTCAAAGAAAAAGAAGATTGACCAACTTGTCAAGAAGTACGAAGGCTTTCAGAAAGGAAGATATCAGCCCTCAAAAATACTTAAGATGCAAACCTCTCGTAACAAGATAGTACATGGGGTGATCAAGCATAATGACTCCAGTAAATCCCGTAGTAAATGTGATTCCAAGAACTCAAGTCTGTCTACGAGCAAGTACAGGAAATCTAAATATGGAGTTATTTCTAATAACACCAGCATCAGCTGCAAGACAGCTAGTATGACCAAGGCTCTTTATCCAAAATCGAAGAAGAACCCTAAGAATAGATTTAAGATTTGTCCTGACAAAAAGATTAGATATGAAATTTCTTCCTCCTCTGACCAGCAAAGAGGAGAACTGAGGTCCTCTAGAAATAAAGATTTCAAAAAATCGAAAAGTATTTCAACCCAAGAAGTGAAATTTAATATTGGGAAAGGCCGATCCAATGCTAAATGACATGAAGAAGTCAAGAAAGCTAGTCATAATAAATTTATCCTTGAAAATAACAAATCACGCATTAGCAAAGATGTTCTGCTCATCTCGGCTTCTTACGACGAGTCTAAAACTTTTAGTAAAAATTTTGGTAAGATCACCTACAAATTTTATTTTAAACGAGAATCACTCAACTTGGCATATAGAACACAAGAAAAATATTAGAGATAAGGAAGTAGACTTTACAATCTCACCTGACAGGATAAACACGCCTGGCTTAAAATCCTGCACCGTCAAGAACAGCATGATGATGGATCAGACAATTTTAGAGAACAAAAACGATCACTCAACTATCCTAAAGAGTGACTTTCAAGCTCTTCAGAGATCAGACCCAAAAGAAAGATCATATAACTCCATCAGCAACTCCTGTAGTGGGGTTATCAGTAAAAATAGCGAAATGAGCCCAGGAAATATAGCCAGTGATAGGCATTTCCCCAAATTCAAGCAAAACTTAGTGAAGGAAGCCTTCTATAAGAGAGAAAAGACTGCTACTATCCAATTATCTACTTCTGATAAAAGGTAAAAACGTGGCTTAAAATTATAGACAAACACTGAAGAAATACTTGACAGGATCAGCCTGTATTGAACTTCAGAGAGGAAGCTCTAAAGGATCATTAAAAAGTAAGATCGATCAAAAAGTTAATCATTAATAGGAAATAAAGGATTTATGATGTCATCGAAAACTTCTAATCTCCGTGGGTCCTCGGTACGTAGCAATACATCAAACTCTTCCAAAACCATAGTTAAAACAAGAAGGTATGAATTTCTGATCTAAATTTCTAATTTCTCTAGAGAAAAGATCCCTAGCACAATAACAAGTTTGAAAAAGACTAGTAGTAGTTCCAAAAAGCGAGCCGTTCTATCGAAGTCTTAGACAAGAAGGGGCTGGCATCAAGAAAATCTCTCAAATTAGATCAAAATCCAATATCTAACTATAACTTTGGATACTCTATGAACTACAAAAAATCTCCCAATGTTCCTAAGAATAAAAAGCATTCAAGGGTAAATACCCAGTGAATTGGAGTTAAGGCCACTACAATTCATGTTGAGTTCGGCCATAAAAGAAGCAATCTCTCTAGTAAGTTCCAGAGATAGTGAATAAAGCTGATAAGTTAATTTAGATGAATCAAAATCAAATATTTCGTACAGAAGCTCTCAAGCCCCTCATGTGAAAAAGAAACTGAACAGACCTAACCTCATCAAAAGAACCTAAATAGAGGTGGAAAAGAAGTTTATTTTTGTTAGGTTTAGTTGAACACCATCTAGTGTTTCCTAATTCTATTATTCAATTTTGGTTCTCTTGGCAGGGGTTTTGGGGTTTTGGGGTTTTGGGGTTTTGGGG